CCCTTATTTTGGGAAACTGCCAGATCTAGCTAGATAATTACTGGTGGTTGGTAGGAAGTCAGGGAATATATTCCCTATAGAATCCCAACATTATCAATAATCCCTATATGATGTATTCCCTTTTTCCCTATTACCGCCAGCAACTGTAGTCATGATCGTCACCTAAGCCCTGAGTTCAGGGCTTAGGGTTCAGGGTTCGCGGAGATCATCCTGAACCAATATTATCAGGTAGGAGGACCCCCCACCCTGTAATAGTGGTATAATGAGCATATAAGAGGACCCTAATATAATCCCCATTGTCCCTTATAGTCAGTATTACTGGGTGGGGGGTCCACCAATATTATCAGGAAAGCTTGAGTTGCCTTCATGCGCAACCTACGCATTCTTCTGAGGCGACCTCTGGCCAAGGCTGGGCTTACTTGCTGGATGAAAGTATCGTCAGTCTTCCGACTGAACCCCTACTAGCTTCCCCTAGTTTCGCCTTTGGTTAAGCTTGAGTAGGCCCAATGATCCCTAAGTAACTTCAATAAAGTGGGAACCTTGGAGAGGGGGTAGTAGGGGGACCCATAATGGTAGGGAATGGAGGAACAGATGCCTATAGTCGCCCCTATATTATCCCCAATAATGTACTCCTCCACTGCCTACTTACAACCAGTCAGGGGAATCGCTCTTTGCAGCCCAGGTGTTTTGCTCTGAGAAGCTCTGGGGTGGAGTGCACCTCGTAGTCTTGATACTAGCATTCCCTATAAGGTTCCTGAAAATGTATTTTAATTTCTGTTACCTAGAATCCTAATATTTAGCTGAAATTGTAATTTCTACTGGGGTTCCAAATCCCTTAGAGTTCCTGCATAACTTCATGATGCAAAGCTTTCACAATTCTCAAGTGTGCTAAGGGTCGTCAAGAGTTTTTCTGGAGTACAAGAAGTAGTATCTTGAGCCAACTGAGGAAACTTCCCAAACCATGTGAGGCATGTCGTTTTTCTTGTTTTTTGAGCTGTGGTGGAAGGCAGCGGGGAAGCCTGAAACCCGAGACGCGATCTGGCAGTACTTCGTGCAGGCCTGCGCAGCTGAGTAATCTTGAACATGTGACCCTTCATAATCCCCAACCTAGTCCCGTATTTAATCCCCGATATGGTAGTTTCCCAAAATAGGGGGACCCCAATATAGACACCCATATACTATTTATGGGAACCCCCGAGTTGGGGAAACCCCCATATAGCCCCCCCCCCCCCCCCCCAAGGAGTTTCGATTATGGCACATATGCCATCTGAGGGCTGTGCTGGCTCAAGGTTATCCGTGAGAACTTGCATATTGCCCTGGCCTCAGTAGCCCAGACGCAAAATTCCAAGAAGGCTGGTGGCGTCCTGCAATAACTGGATTTCTGTTGAGGAACTTGCGTTGACCTACCAATGAATTCGTGCTATTTGCTATACAGTACGCAGCGATGTACAAGTTTCTGGTTTCTTTTCCAATGTTCCCTTAAACGCACCTACATACCCCTACATACCTCCTGTATATACTTGCATCTAATGCTATGAACCTAGCAGTAGCCCGCAAAAGCGCAAGATGAGGTGCTCGCATTCTCACCGATCGGAGAAGGCTTCAGAGCCCGATGTCCATCTCTCAGACCTGGATTTTCATTTCACAAAGGAAATACACGGGGTTTTCTTCGCCCCTTTAAAGAGGTTTTCTAGGATTAAGAGGTTTTCTAGGGTTAGAAAAAAAAGAATGGAAAAGAAAAAGGAAACTACTTCTTAGGGTTTGGGCTTTGGGTATTAAGGATCTTACGCCAATACTGGAGAATCAAATGGACAAGAGCATAAACAATTAAGTATGTAGGATTTATGCAGTGTCAAGGGTTTATGGGGTAGTTACTTTTGATAAGCCTCTTCGTAAACCCGATGTCATTTCACAACTGTTAGCCTCGCGCGGGTGTAGAAAGCCGCGCTGCAAGCTTGCCATGCATCAGCTACTGATTCGCGAATCCCAGAAAAACTTTAAAAAAACCTAGGACCTAGAGGGTCTCCTGTCCCTATCAGGACTCCTGTAACCCTCTGTAAAATCCAGGATCACCAAAGTCCCTCCTTTTCCATACGCCCACAAGACTCATTTGATTATGTTTGGACTACTATAGTGAGTCATTCCTCAAATTCCAACTAAACCCTCAGCCCCAAACCCAAAACCCTGTAGAATGTAGCTGTTTTCATTGTCTTTTCGATGCCCAGCGATCCACCAACAGGCAGATGAGAATAATAACGCTAAGCCCTAAATTGCAGGCCGGCAGTTCCCATCAATCATCAACTGCGCAACGATCGACTGGTTCAGCCGATGCCCTCAGAATCTCAGGGTGGCATTTGTTACTGTTAAAGAGTGGAGTGCCAGCAGCATATCACCCTAAATCCATAACTTTGAGGATCGCTTTTGTTCTGATTTATTGCTGGGTATGCTTCCAGCTTGTCGGAGTGGATCAAATGATCAGGTCCCTGGCCTGCGGATGCCTTGTATTCCGCGCGTCGCCCAGATAAGCTTCTCTCATTCATGGGTTGATGGATAAACTAGTGCTCGGGATACAGTCCCCCTTAAGTAGATAGAAAATGGGATATGTTAGGGATCTTATTATAATATACCCAAAGCCATATCCTATCTACTGAAGGGGGACTGTATACCAACTTGAGCCTGGCCTGTGCCTGGGTTTAGGATTTTAGGGTTTTGGGGATGAGAAGAGTACAGTGAGCATTCAGGAGCCCTCGCGGCATCATGAGACTGTGCAAGTAGTTTCATGCTCCCTGTGGTGAAGGCTACCATGGCACTCTGTGGAGTTGTGCCCTTCCTGAATTTCACATGAGTTATGTACAGACGACTGCATATACTTATCCACATGTGTATCTACATATATGTATATACATCTATACCACATATATATATATACACACACACATAGATTTTGGTGGCATATCGAAGAGTTGGGAACAGTTAATCGACACCAGGGGGGCCTAGATCCCTAAACCTCAAGCCCTCAACCCTAAAGCCGACGTCATGACTCAACAACAAACGCCTGAAGCACACTCCTAGACCGTAGGCCCTGAACTGCAACCTCTGAATGCCAACACCCCAAACCCTGAATTGTCAGCGAGTTTTTGAATTTCAGGTGGCTGTCCGATACTACTCGCAGGCTCCGAAGGAGCTGGGTGGCTGAGCTCAGTTTATGGCTTTTGGCTTTGGCTTGGGACTTAGGGCCTGGGATTGAAGTCTAGGTCTAGGGTTCCAAATTGAAGAAGTTAGGATTTGAGAATTTGGATGTTCGCCAAAAAGTGTGCCAACACCAGGCAGTTATTATGAACTTCCTGGAATGTTGCTGGAGTTTTCCTGGCACTTGAGGGTGTGAGTGTTCCTGCCGTGGAAGGTCGCTTGAACCCGAAAGATACGAGCATCGTCTTTGCTTATGACATTGAACATCCCCGAAGTCCTGCTGCACGTAACTTCAAGAAAGGACCCTTAACCTTAATCTTAAACCTAAAGATCGCAAGCCTTAACGTTAAGTCCTAAGCCCTAAACTCTCATCTCTAGGCATTAGCCCTAAAACATGTTGACTACCTAAGCACCTAAACCCTGTACCGCTTTGAGGTCTAGAGGCCCTGGTGGATCAGCTGTCCCAGGTCTCGCAGTGCGCCATCTGTTTGTAATTGCCAGGGGGAGGGTTTGAAGCTTGGGATTTAGGCGCAAAGGTTAGCGTTGGGGTTCCTTGGGGGTTTAGGGTTCAGCGTTTTGGCTTTAGGGTTAAGGCTTTAGGGCTTAGGATTTAGGGTTACGGCTTTAGGATTTGGGCTTTAAGTTTAAGGGTATAGAGTTGCAAGATTTTGGGGATGGTACTGGGACTTCTTAGCATCATGCAGGGGATTTAGCAGGGCTACGGGCTTGGTTTTTGGGTCTCAGTGAAGGGCTACACAGCCAAGTCCTACTTGAGACGCCTCAATCCCACAAGTCCTCCTAAGCCTCCTAAACCGTAGATCTACCCCAAACCCTACCCCTAAAGCCTCAGTCCTAAACCCTGAACCCTAAACCCTACGTCCTAAGTCCTGAACCCTAAGCCCTAAGTCCTAAGCCCTAAACCCTCAGTCCTCGACCCTAAACCCTAAACCCTCCCCGCCTTTCTCCCCTATATAACCCATTATAGTAGTTTCCATTTAATTTTCCATTATCCCTATATACGCCCCTTTCTCTTTCCCGCGTTGGAAGGTACATGCACAGTACCTCAAAGGATGCGGCGGAGGACTTCTTCGAAAGCCCGGGGCTTCATCTGCTTTCCGAGAATCTAGAGGGGATTTAGGGTGTAGGTTTTAGGGTTTAGGGTGTAGGTTGTAGGGTTTAGGGCTGAGGGTTTAGTTTTTAGGGGATTAGGGGTTATGTAGGGGATTTATTGGGAGAATAAAAAAATGGAAACTACTATTTGGGGTTTAGGGTGTGGAATTTGAGGGATTAGCCATCCATGGGTTTAGGATGTAGGGTTTAGGGAGTTGAGGGATTTGAGGGTTTGGATTTCGGGATTTAGGGAATCTGGATTTGGGGTTTAGGCATTCAGGGTTGGGGTTTTAGGGTTTAAGATTGAGGGTTCAGGTATGTTGCGGGTTCAGAGATGTGATTCCTCTTTGAGTTTTCAGAGTGCCCTTCCATCAATCACCCTTCACCTTGCTGGGAAATGCCTCCCCCCTCTCTTTACAGGGCAATGGTTGGCCGCTGGGGTGCAGTGGTCAAATCCTTAACCCTAAACCATAAACCCATAAACCCTAACCCCTCAACAGCTAAATCGAAACCTAAAAACCTAAGCCCTGAACCCCTAACCCTGCTTCTAGAGCAGACGTATTTGCATTCGGAGTCCTGGATCGAAAGCCCCAAAATGAAAAGTCTAAGCCATGTGTCCACATGTGTGTCTTGCGTTTAGGGTTTAGGGTTCAGGGTTTAGGGTTCAGGGTTTGGTGTTGAGGGTTTGGGGTTTATCGCCTAGGTTTTGCTGAAGACTGATGATGGCTGCTCATGATCGTAGATGGTAAATGCACGTTGTATGAATTTGTCACCGTCGCCCCCCCATTCTTTCCGACCATGTAGTCTCCTGCTTCGAGCCACCGCAATGACTTTGAGAACCCTTCAGGCAAGCGCTTACTCCTGCAGCTAAAGCCTTCAACTGAGGCCTGCGAAGAAGGACATACATGACTCCAACCTCGTACTTGGAGCTGATCGGTCTCTTCACAGACTTGGTCGGCAAGAAGTGCTGGCCTTACCCATGCCACGAGGCAATTAGAAGAAAGTCCAGGTAGTCTGGCCTCTGAACTCCTCAAAGGGTGCTGGGACATTAAGATGAGCATGTAAGCTTTGCATTGTCGTGCAGGTGTAAGAGAACCCCAAAACAGCACCAGCCTTTGTGCAAGAGATTATACTAGTAGCCATGACTCGAATCCTGCAACTCAACCTGGACACTGGAAACATGATTTCGTAATGCAGCAATTTCAACCTTCAAGTGGGTCATGACGGTGATGTCAAGCGGTACCTAGCTCTAAACACATTCCAAACCTAAACTGTGAATTACGGGCCCTCCAATAGGATCCAGAATGTTGAGAGCCCTGCTATTCCTTGCTAAGCCCTCTGCGGCAACATGCGCTCCCTTCATCATTCCCACCAAGCTTTAGATATTCACTCTCACAATCCTTTACCAAGAGCTTGACAGTTTGGGGGCAGTTCGGAGTGGGCCTAGTTTAGGGTTTAGGGTTAACTGTCCATGAGGCTCCAGGCAATGCTAAAGCTCAAACAATTACCAATATTCTTCCCTTGCAGTCCTTGTATGATACATACCTCAACGCAACAATCGTTCAGATTTGGCCCCTACGCTGCAATCCTGCATAAGCACCGTTTCCAGTTAATTTCCGCTTTTCTTTCCCATTCAGTTCTCGAATAATTCGGGCCCGTAACACCTGAATCCTATGTAATCCCACCACTTGATTCTCCCCTAATTCAGGCTCCAAATCCCTAAGCCCTACATGGAATCCCTTTAGGCTCTTAGAATGACACTGCAGGCGTGGTGAGCTCACCACCAAGCTAGAGCGGTACACCATCGGCTCCAAGACGCTCAACGAGACAAAGTCTGTGGTTGATGACCTGAAGGCCTTGGGTTATATAGGGATACAGTAATGGAGAATCAAATGGAAAAGAAAATGGAAAATGAAATGGAAACCCTAGGTCCCTTAAAAGGGGTATATAGGGTGTAGGGATATTACCCCCAATAATGGAGAATCAAATGGAAAAGAAAATGGAAAATGAAATGGAAACTGCTATATATAGGGTTATATAAGGGTTATATGAGCTATAGTCTAAACTCCTTTAAGGGGGAGATATGGGGGATTATACAGGGGACTACTATAGGGGTTATAAAGGGGGATACTAGGAGTTTAGACTTGTCTCATATGTTTTGCATACATATAGGAACATATACACACTCACATGCCCACACACATTTATGTATATACACATAGAATATACACACACCCCTAGGTGTACGTATCCATAGGTGTTTGTGTTTGCGCGCATACGTGTATACTGTATAGATCCGGATGTAGTCGTACCTCTTATAGATGCAGTGGCTTAATGCATTTAAGATGGATTACATGCATCTTCGAAGGTCGAGCATTTAGAGATAGCAAGCCCAATCCTTCAGGAGAGACACTAGATGCAGGTTTCGGCATGTGTGGAAAAGTTTGGGTTCCCAGAAATATTCTCAGTCCCGAATACGCCTTACACGAAGCCGAATATGCTCATAGTCATCTGGGATTGTTAGCACTATCCCAAGCCAAGAGCCACAAAAAATGCAGAAAGTCACCAAAAGCCTAGACCAGTGACGACGAAGGAGGGGGTCCATTATCCCTATATAACCCCAATAATATAACCCCTAATATAATACAGTAGTTTCCATTTCGTTTCAAGCCGCTTCAAAGGCATCTTGCCATTCTGCCAAATCCGTGCCAGCAAGGGACCTTCAAGAATCGGCCTTTGAGTTCAAAACCCACGCGGTTTAGGGTTTAGGGTTCACGGTTTAGGGTTTAGGGTTTAGGGCCCTTGAGGATGAGGATCCCCAAGACCATCGTCCTACCTTTGGTTAGCTGGGAATGAAGGAATGGAAAAGAAAATGGAAACTACTAGGTCCGCGGCGGATTCTCGCCCGTAAGGGAATTTGAGGGAAAA